GTCGAATTATCTTTGAAAAATGATTCCTAATTCCAGTTGGATCATCTCAGAGCTGCTAACATTTTTAGTGGCATGGATTAAAGCAATCATTTTTCAGTACTTTAGCAGATACACAGGCAACCAGTCTGCTTCTAGGAGAAACTTGAATTTCACCACATCATATTGGAGAGGTGGATCTACAGATAGTTTTCTGCTCCGTTTGCCTGTCCAGATAATAGAACATCCTCAGAAGAAGGATGTTCCTCTTCTTTGCTTTACACAATTGATTTTACAAGTGAAATTAAATAGGGAGTTATCAGACAAAAGGCTTTCTCAGCTGCATGGTCAATTATGGAGCATGGTCCCCTACAAAACTCATATGGAAATCTCACAACTATTGGTTGAACAACAGGTAATTTCAATCCAATTCAATGTATCTGTTATCTACTGCTCTGTTTCTATATATGCATTATTTTTAAAAGCTAACGTTTTTAAATGCAGCATTAAATCTTAATCAGAGGTAGGCAATCTTGGCTCTTTTATGACTCGTGGACTTCAACTCCCAGAATTCCTGAGCCAGCCATGCTGAGGGGAAAGGGAGAGGTTTCCAAGCTGAGCCATGCTGGCTCAGGAATTCTGGGAGTTGAAGTCCACGAGTCATAAAAGAACTAGGGTTGCCTACCCCTGATCTTAATCATGCAAAATTATGTTGATCAGTTTTTCTATTACATCAATAAAGACCCAGTTCATTATATAATCTCATCAATCCTGGTCTGTAAATCTAGGATAGTTGATAGTGTCTTTCCATCATAAAACTTTTTTTTTTGCTATCCTTCATGTTCAATAGATCTACAACTTTTTATATAATTTATATCCCAATTTGGAATATACAATTCAAATCACTTTCACATCTATAAACTAGATCACTGTTCACAAAAATGTACAGATATTAATCCAAAACAGGGCCAGAGCAGATATGTACTATTTCATTTAACATTTTTCACTTTCAACATGATGAAATTGACAAGTATCTTTTCCAATGCTCCATTTTTCACAATTGACTGAAAGTCTTCTAATATATTCCACTTATTTGTTTATTTAAAATACGCAGTAGCTGAAACACTCTAGGCAGCTTATAATACAGTAAAACACTCTAAAATATAATGTGAGTAAAAACATACAATATATAAAATGAAATATTTTTATATAAAATAGATATATTTCTTATAAAATGAAATATTCATATAAAATGAAAAATGAAATACTTGATATGTTTGTATGAAATAAACATTTGACAAATTAGACCAGAACCTACCGGTACATCTTAAACTAGAAAAATGTGGGATAGACAGCATCACTGCCAGATGGATTTGTAACTGGCTGACAAACCATATTCAATGAGTAGTCCTTAATGATACTACATCTACATGGAAGGAAGGAAGGAAGCAGTGGGGTACCACAAAGTTCTTTCTTAGGCCCAGTACCCTTCAATATCTTCATAAATGACTTAGATGAGGGAATACAGTAGAAGGGGAACTCATCAAATTTGCAGATGACATTAAGCTGGCAAGAAAACAAGCTCAGGATCCAAAAAGATCTTGACAGATTTGAACAACAGGCCTTAACCAACAACATGAAATTTAATATGAAGAAAAGCAAGGTTTTACACATAGGCAGGAAAAACCAAAAGTACAAGATTAGGTGAAACCTGGCTCAAAAATAGTAACTGTGATAGGGACCTTTGAGTCCTAGCTGATGACCAGCAGTGTGCGGCAGCAGCCAAAGCTAATACAATCCGTGGTTGTATAAACAGGGGCATAGAATCAAAATCACATGAAGTATTAGTACCGCTTTATAAAGCCTTAGTAAGACCACACCTGGAATACTGCATCCAGTTTGGTTACCACATTACAAAAAAAGATGTTGATACTTTGGAAAAAGTGCAAAGAAGAGCAAGTAAGATGATTAAGGGCCTGGAGACAAAAACATATGAAGAATGGTTGCAGGAATTGGGTATGGCCAGTCTAGAGAAAAGAAGAACTAGGGGTGACATGATAGCAGTATTTCAGTATTTGAGGGGCTGCCACAAAGAAGAGACGGTCAACTTATTTTCCAAAGCACCAGAAGGCAAGACAAGAAACAATGGAATGGATACTAATTAAGGAGAGAAGCAACCTGGAATTAAGGAGAAACTTCCTAACAGTGAGGACAATTAACCAATGGAATAGCTTGCCTTCAGAAATTGTAGGTGCTTCATCACTGGAGGTTTTTAAGAAAAGACTGGACAACTTAATAATAATAATAATAATAATAATAATAATAATAATAATAATAATAATAATAATAATAATAATAATAATAATAATAATAATAAAGTTGGAAGGGACCTTGGAGGTCATCTAGTCCAACTCCCTGCTCAGGCAGGAAACCCTATACCATTTCAGACAAATGGCTGTCCAGTCTCTTCTTAAAAACTTCCAATGTTACCTAACTGAAATGATATACCGGTAGGAGGAGGTCTTTCCAGCTCTATACTGATTGATTGATAAAAACACCACATGAACTAAACAACAGCATGGCAGTCCTTCAAAAATCCATTAATTTAACTTAATCAAGTTAAAATCAATTTAAAAACCTGGAATAGTCTTCATCTGGTAATAAAACAATGCCAATGTAGGTGCCAGTTGACTCTCTCTAGGGAGAAAAGTCCAAAAATGAGATAATATCAAAGAAAAATCTCCCTCTTTGGAAAGGCCCACCTCACCTCCTTTGATGAAGAGACCTGGAGAGGAGCTAATTAGATGATCTTATAGTCCAGGTACATACATATGGGAGAAGGTGCTCCTTGAGGTAACCTGGTCCTAAGTCAAAAAACATACATGCAGCTCATTAAGTTTACTCAGAGGCACATATCTGAGGTAAGTAGAGGACCATATGACTTCTGTGTAAACACAATTAATTCTCTCCACATTCGATCCAACTGCCAGTCACCACTAGACTTGTGTTATATAAAATATTTAAAGATCTGGCTACCAGTTATAGTAACTCATTACAGCAAACTGCATATCTAAAACCAGCTTGAAAAACATATTTGACTATAAGTAAAGCTTACTAAAGTAATTTTAACATGTAAAAAAAGAGGTTGTCTGCAATGATGATATTTTAAGCTATGCAAAGGAATTCTCCTCATTTCTTTGTGTGTGTGTGTGTGGGGCATATCAACAATCAAACTATGAAAGAACAGAGAAGGTAAAATTAAGGCCACTTCAAAACACAGAGAAGGAAAAGGAAAATCTGAAGCATTCTCAGATTTCAGCTGGGCTTTCACTCTTGCTATTCAGCAATGTTGCCTGCACTACAAATGGAGAATCACAAATGCAAGCATTCTTCTCCAGAAAGTGAAATTCAGTATCTATTGCAAATTTCTCAGATTCAACATAAGATGAACTACATCTAACCTTGAACAAGGGGAAAAAGGAAGTGCTAGAAGAATAATGTAACAGTATTTTGATTATTCCACAAATATACTGGGATAAAGGCATGTTCAAGAGCTGCCGCTGAACCCATATTCTCAAAGGACACAAGCACTTGAACCAGCAGATATCATCAGGGATTTTATCCATCAAAGAGAGTTTCTCTCCAACAACTTCTCCACAGAAGAATTTGGGCAATGGAGGACAGAGTTTCCTCTGCAATGGGTTCAGGGGGTTTTTTTTTTAGCCACAACTTTATCCATCCTTGCCAGAAAATAAACCTTTTCACAAAGTCCATAGAATATTTGAAAAAACATGCAAAACATTGCCTTTCTTCTCTGATGTCCTTTTTTTCCCTACAATAATACACACTGGGTATGCACAAGATGAAACCTACCGGTTTTGGAAATGAGCCAACTGCAAATATAAACCTAATTATTTAAAAAATATTATTTCCCCCAAATCATGAAATATGACCCAGCCTTCTCATAAGTCCTAATTTACAAGAAAGACAATATGATTATTCATCTTCCTTTTTTCCCGGGGGGGGGGGGGGAAGGAGGGAAACAACTGAACCCACCTCTTCCCAACATAATCCAAAATTCCGTTTGGATCAATCAAACACAACTCAGTGATGCCAGACTGGATTTGCAAACAGATCCAAAACTGTCACAGTCAGAATCACCATGGTATCATGTTCTCCTCCTAGAGTCCTCCATTGAATTCAACAGACTGAAGCAAGGAAGGAGAGGTTTGAATGAAAAATACACTAGACAGTTTAACTGGAGTGTTAAATCACCACTCTAACACTCACGCGCCCCCCCTTTCAAAAAAAATGTTTTTATGATCTTGTGTTTTTCCGTCTTATCCCATCTCTTTCCATCTGCAATTTTCGGACAGCTTTTTGTTTCAATAAAAAACGTACCCCAAGTGTTATCGATAGTCTTTACAAAGAACTAAGGCCCCTCCAGTTCAAAAGTCTGCTCCCCCCCCCAAAAAAAAAAATTCCAGGAGGAAAAAGCATTTTCTATCCGTCAAATAAAAATATAATGGCTCTCTCCTCTTCCCCTTCCCCCGTTTCACATACCATTAAGCAGAGCTGAAAACCCCACGCCCCTCCTGTTTAAAAAGTTTTGATCTTTGCAAATGACCTTAGCAAAACTTCTGCGCAGCAGATGTGGGAACAGCGGGGGCGTCTCATCCTTCCTCCCGCTCCGGATTGATCCCCGTCCCGCCGCCCCTCTTTCTCCAATTTGAGGCCGGAGCCAGTTTCTGAACCAAGAAACGGGATTTTAGTGCTGGTTTAAAAAATATATATACTCCCTTCCCCCCCCGCCCATTCTTCCAAGGCTCCCCAGGATCGAGCTAGATTGCCCGTTAATGCAGAACGGCGAAGATAGGGGAAAGTTCCCCAAGAGTTAGAGCAGGAAAGGCGAAGACAACCACTGACCGAGGGGACGGAAACCGTCCGAATCCACACAAGCGCTCCTCGCAACTGCTTCTTGCCCTGCTTCACCCTCCCCGAATGAAATTAAAGCCACCTCTTACCGTCTCGCCCGAGACGCAGGCCGACAAGGCGAAGGCAAGCACCATCCACACGTTCCACATTATTCCCGCGTTTGCAGCTCTCGCTGCGGGCCGCGACGAAAGGAGAGGCGAGAGTGGGCGCCCCGCAGATCCCCAAAGGAGCGATCTGCCACCCGGGCAGCGCTGACTACGATCCGGCCGGAGCGACGGCGGCCCTCCCTCGCTGGCTGCCCCCTCGCTCTCCTGCCTCCTCTCGGCTCCTTTCACCCGCCGCTCCTCAGTTGTCAGCGTGCTTCAGGGCGGAGTTGGCCGGCTGGCGGGGAGCGGAGGGGGTGGATGGAGGGATGGATGGGTGGGTGGGCTGCTGCCCGCCGGTCCGCGGGCCCGCGAGCTCGCCTTGCCAGGCTAGCCTGTCGCGCCTGCCCCTGCGCCGCTCTCGAGGCTGCGGGCGCAAAGAACAAAGTTTGCAGTCGGGGCAGCAGCGGAGAAGGCGACGCACGCACGCACGCGCGCCCGCCCGCCCGAGTGTTTTCCTCTGTCCCCCTGGAGGGTGGGGAGGAAAAGCCAAGCCTAGGCAGGCGAGCCGGTCCTCAGCTGCTTCCACTTCGCCTGGCCTCGCTTTCCTTTCGCCGTCTGCGAGGAAGCGACTCCTAGTTAAAGCCTGGCGAAATTCCTGCAGGATTACAACGCAGATTGGCAGGTCCTTCAGCCACTGGGAGGGCGCTCGCCGCGGCAGCCCGGGCTCGGTTTGGCCTCTTGCGAAGCCCGGCTAATCCCTCCCCAGGACCAGCTACCCACCTCTCCTCCTCTGCTTCTTCGCCTCCTGCTCGCGCGCTCGGCCGCCCGGCCTCCTCCGCTCTCTCGCGCTCGCTCCGCCTGCTCCACCTTGGATACCCCGGGAAAGCGCTCCGCCGGCGGTCCTGGCAGCCAGCGGGTCGCGCTGCCCGCTTGGATCGAGCGACGCTCTTCCGACATCGGCCCCGGCGCTTCGGCTTCTGCCTGCGGAAAAGGCAGAGTTTGAGAAAGAGAGGCAGAAGTGCTGCCAGATACTTGCAGAGGTGCAACTTAAGGTGGCCCTTTGCTGGTATTTGCTAACGAAAGAACGTCTCCGTCCAATTGAATAAGCATGTTGGCTTGCTTGGACTATTTAAATGCCCTGTGCAGAGGCACCTGCATGATTCAGGGCATACGTGCTCTGAAAAAACACTTTCCCGTTTTCCAGAGTCCATGTAATCTCTCTCTCCCCCCCCCCTTTTCTCTCTCTCTCTCTCTCTCTCTCTCTGTGTGTGTGTGTGTGTGTTTTCAAGTCAGTGTTGACTCCTGGTAACTGCCTGGACAAGTCTCTGCAGTGTCCTTGGTAATATTTTTGAGAAGTGCTTTGCCATTGCTTCCTTCCTAGGACTGAGAGACCATGACTGGCCCAAGCTCACCCAGCTGACTTTCTGACTAAGGCAAGACTAGAACTCACAGTCTCCCAGTTTCTATTCTGGCGCCTTAATCATTACACCAAACAGGTAATGACTCCGTTCCCTGACCACAGACCATCTCCTCTAGGTAGCTAAGGAACTGCTTGACTACTGCAAACATTTTTCTGAGCTTATGGCCTTTTTTTTCTTATGGTATTTCCACCTTTGACTATCAACCATGATACCTCTCAGTATCAGTTGCTGGAGCAAAAACAAGCTGGCTGTCCTATTGTCGTCATTTTCTATTGAATGCATTGGGTACACAATGCCTATTGTGTACACCGATGTACTCAATATTGTGCCCTTTGAGTACATTAAACTGGGTCATCTTTTTTGCTTCTTCCAACAGGCATTTACATCCTTAATAATTTCCCTAGAAAGTTGGTCGCATTCCAGAGTAAGCTATTATTGTGCCATCGTCCTATTTATTGATCTAATTTCACAGAAGGGATGTGGAATCCAGGACAAAGCTTTTCACTGAAAATCTCTCATTTGGTCTTTTTTTCCTACAAGACAAAAATATTGACATACTCTACTGCTCTATCATTACATGAATAGCATTTGTTTCTGGGGTGAGTTTTTTCTTTCTTCATTTTTCATTCTTCAAGTAAAACTTGAGACATCAGCTATATTAAATTAAATATTGACAGAGAGAGCAGACATAAAACACATTGAATCTAAGGACAACAAATTGATCAGAAATATTTATCTAGAGCAGTGGTTCTCAACCTTCCTAATGCCGCGACCCTTTAATACAGTTCCTCATGTTGTGGTGACCCCCAACCCTAAGAGCTCTCCAAGCGCGCACCGACGCCACCCACTCACCCGCCACGCCCGTGGCTCAGCGCACCTCGCCTGTCCTCACCTCACTTCCGAAGGTCGCCAGCCTGCCCGGCTCCAGCTGGCCAGGGAGGGTGGGGCAGGAAGCTGCTCCGCCGGCTCTGCCCAACCTGGTTGGAGAAGTGCCCAGGCGGGGAGAGGGAGAGAGAGAGAGAGCCAACAGGGTGACAGCCTCCTCCGCGGAAAGGGCCGCGAAGCAGCACAGCCTCCCTTAGATGTTTGACGGAAACGAATCCGGCACTGCAACGGCCCCCAGCTCGAAGCCGTGCGGAGATGGATAGAGGAGCGGTGTCTCGGTTCCTAAGACCATTGGAAATATGTGTTTTCCAATGGTCTTAGGTGACCCCTGTGAAAGGGTCCTGCGACCCCCAAAGGGGTCACGACCCACAGGTTGAGAACCGCTGATCTAGAGAAATAAATCATTTTCTGCCTACTTGTTTCCCATGGTATTGTACTGTAAAAAAAATCAAAACATATGACTTCAAATAATTGTTGCTATTATGCAATCCAAGGAGAAAGCTCTATACCAGCATGTCCAACCTACAGCTTGTGGGGTGCATGAGGTCCTGAACAGCTAGTAATGTGGCCCCCATAAGATCATAAAAAATTTTAAAAAATAAAGGAAGTTTGCTCTTTATATAAATTAACTATATATTTTAAATGCAGCCCAAGACAATTCCTCTTCATTCTATGCTGCCCAGGTAAGCCAAAAGGTTGGACATCCATGCTGTATAAAGTTACAAAGTGATAACATTACAGAAGGAACGGATCAACTAAACTAGTAAATGTCGAGCTAGGAAAAACCAATCTTGCAAGAGTAGGAGTTCCATAATTGGGAAATATATTTAAGGGTCACAAGATCCATAATAGCAAAAAAAGAAAAAGAAAAAAAGGAAATTGTTAATGAAATTGGAACAAAGAAAGGGCTAACATTAGAATGTTATAACTAAAATTTCAGTACAGTTAAGGCTGTATTTCAAACAGTTATTCCAATGTTCCTTCTTAATAGCATAGTTTGTTTAGCCATTATCATTTTTCATTTCCCAAATTTTGGTCATTGCCACCTCTTGTGCTCTTTTAGTCAGAATTTTCTGTTACATGCTGGTTTTTTAAATTATCTGTAGCCTTTTCCACTTCATCATTAATCCAAGCATTCTTTTTATATGCTTCCCATTAGTGTAATTTCACAACACTTCTATCACATTCTTTATTAAAATACTTTTCAATCTGTACCACACAGCTTCCACATCCTGCTTTCTTAAGTATACTTTCCACTTATTCTCTTGAGAGATTTTTGGAGTGAGACCACACTTGGACTATATGGTCCAGTTCCAGTTACCACAATACAAAAAAGATGTTGAGACCCTGGAAAGTCTCCAAAGAAGAGCAACAAAGATAATAAAGAGTCTGGATGCTAAATGGTATGATAAATGGTTGAGGGAATTGGGTATGCCTATCTTATTGAAGAGAAGGATTAGGTGGGACATGATAATTGCCTTCTAGTACTTGAACCTCTATCACAAAGAAGAGGGGGTTGACTTATTCTCTAAAGCACCATAGGATAAAAAGTAATTGATGGAAAGAGAGATCCAATCTAGAAATAAAGATAAATTTTCTGACAGTGAGAACAATTGATCAATGGAATAGCTTGTCTCTTGGGGTTACAGGTGCTCCATCACTGGAGATTTTCAAAAATAAACTGTACAATCATTTGGGATGTTATAAGGCTTTTGCCTTGACCAAGGCGTTGAACTAGACGTCCCTTCCAGCCCTATATTCTACGATTCATTTCCTAGTAGGATCTTGTGACAAGAATGTGTTTTATTTCCAGAAATAATGACAAAGTTTTATCCTGGAGTGGCAGTTTAAGTATATTTTTAAATAGTAGAATTATTAATAATACAGATTTACAGATTTTAAAATAGCTGAAATTCAGATTGCTGATTTCAACAATCGCTGTATTTGCCTTGGATCCACTCTTGCTTGCTTGAGAGAAACCCTAACTCACTGGATTCAGCAGGACTTGTGTTCATGAAAATGTATTTATAACAGATGAGAAAGGGAACCAAGGCAGTTTCTTTTTCAACACATAAACAAACTTTGAGATTCCTTGGTCAGCAGCGTTTGGAGAACCATGAAGTATAGGACTTGCAACTGCAGTAAAACCAGCATTACAAAAGTATTTGGCACCAGTGCACATTTGTTGCAGAAAGCATCAATGGTTTTCTTTTCTCTGGAAATGGAAGAGAGCTAGAACTGGAATCACATGAAAAGCATTAAGAAGTCATTAGTCCTGCTTCATACCTTCTTCAAAGAATCTCAAGAAAGAACAAAGTGGGGATTAACTGATTGATTTTTATCAATTAGGGAAATCATTATCTGAAAGCTAGAAATTCAGTTTCCTGTTGTATGTTATATATTTGCATGCACACATGCATGTACTAGTAAAATAGAATTAAAAATATGCATTTCAAAAATGATTAAACAGCTCAAATTTATTAGAATTGATCAATTACATGTCGTCAAGTCATTTTCAACTAGCAAAAGCATACAAATTGCAATAGTTATTTCTTTAAAAAAAATCTTTAAAAAACATTTATCTAGCTTATATAAGTGCCCACACAACATGCTTCATAACACACCTTCTGTCCATGAACATTTAAAACTGAATTAGTAATTACAAAAAGGAAATATTAACAAGACAAATATATCATGGACGTTTTCTGAATAGTAGCTCTCTAGATTTATTTTGCTCCAGGCAAGTTGGAGTCAGAATACAATTAACTAATTGTTGATCCTGGAAAATGAAAGAAGTGTGCTTTTAAGTGACTATATAGATTGGCTCAGAAAGTTATTTGCGATAGTTGGGGAGCTTTGAC